AGTCAACTGGACTTTGTTTTTCCTAGAAGATGTTTCGCTTCTCATCTAACAAGCTTCTTCAGTTCTGACTGAATGGTGGAGGATGGAAGGATTTATATCCTTTGCAGCAATTCTCCTATCCTTCACCATTCAGTCAGAACTGAAGAAGCTTCTTGGATGGGAAGCGAAACATTTTCAAGGAAAAACAAAGTCCAGTTGCCCTTTGAAAAAGCACCTTTAGGCAACCATGACCCGGATGACTGAGAATCTCCATAGACATGGAACTGTAAGATGTGGGCAGAGTTGTTTTCTTGCCACTCAGCTGGGAAGAGAGGGGCATTAACTTCCTCTTTCCCTCCTGCATGCAGGGACTAGCACAGCTTCCTTCATGGAAATCTGCCCTATCTTTATTTTTTTTATTATTTTTCTGTTCAACCGTTCCTGATGCTCAGAGATTGCCTGAAGAGGTTTGCCATTGCCTCCTTCCTGGGGCTGAGATAGATGACTGGGCCAAGGTGGGAATAGAACTTACAGTCTCCCAGTTTCTAGCCTGATGGCTTAGCTATTACTCCACTTCTCTCTACAACCTATCTTTACACATTCATTTATCCATTTATTTCAACTATACTTTTCATATCTGCAATTCTGTTGCCTGATGGAAGACCATCTTTTTTTTAAAAAATTCAAAAAAGTTTTAATTAGTAAGTTAATAAATGCAACAGTTCATTTATCTGTGGAGCAGATGTTAAACAAATATATACTTAATTATATTTTAAAGCTATTTAGGATCTGCTGCATTGAAGAAGCTTTTCCTGTCATCACGGGATGATTTTTACGTTGCAAATGATTATACCTTTCTAACATTGCAAAATAAACTATACCAGTGATGGCGAACCTACGGCACGTGTGCCAGAGGTGGCACTCAGAGCCCTCTCTGTGGGCACACCTGCCGCCACTGCCGCCAGCTCGCGCAGGTCCATTAAGCCACAACTGGTGCCCAGAGTGGCAGCCCCACCCAGCACAAAGGAAGTGAAGCAGCTGGCTAGGAAGCTCGAGTAGAGGTGGTAGAGCAGGCCCCCATGCGCTCGCTGGCCTCTGTGTGGGGGGGCTGATGGTATCAGGCAGCAGCCGCCCCTGCCTCGCCTTGCCCCGCAGCAATGGCACCCCTGCCCTACCCCCTGCAGGACAAGCCTCCTGCCCACTGTCCCACCCATCAGAGACCCGCTGGATCTCCCCCATCCTGCCCAGCCTCCACAGGCGTCCCTCCGAGCAACATCAAGGTGACCACGCTCACCCCAGCCACGCCCACCCAGTCTGCCGTGACCACCGCAGCCATGCCCACCCAATGGGCCACGCCCCCTGCCCCCCTTGAGGGCACCACAATGCTGATGCGGCCCTGGCACTTTGTGATAAATAAGTGGGTTTTGGGTTGCGGTTTGGGCACTCAGTCTCTAAAAGGTTCGCCATCACTGAACTATACTATTATTCAGAAAACTGAGTACACATTTAAACTGGTTTGAATGTTAAGTAAGCAGATTGTTAATCCAGTAAAACTATTGGTTGACTAATATAAAGTTACTTCCAAGTATAACAAAATGTGAGGAGGAATTAAATTGGCTCATTTTAACGGTTTAAAGACTTAGTAAATATATAAAGGTGCTTATATTGGCATGAGAACATTAAATCCATGATGCACTATAAGGAACATAAGCAGATGGGTGGGGGGCACTTATTAAGTGCACAAATCCTGTGTAATACAACACTATGTTATGAATTCAAATTGAGTTCCAAGTTAAGATTCCTGAGATATCTATGAAAGATACTTAAAACTGACAAATTAAGAGACAGAATTGCAGACCAGTATAGAATTTATTTATTTTTTTAAAAAAGAGAAAACAAGCATCTGCGAAAATATTTGCTGAACACTTACAGTTTTGATTAGCATGTCTAAATCTTTAACTTCAAAAGTGTGAGGGTTGTGATGGTTCAGATGCCCAAACTGTTTGAGAAGAGCTTGATGGTCTACGCCAGAATCTAAAAGCAACCCACACAAAAAACAGAACTGTAGTGACTACATTGATAGATACAATACAAGAACTGGGTAGAATTCAAGAGCATATTTTAAAAGGCAATTCATATTTTAAGAAGATATTCACAACCTACAGCACTCACAAGGTTCAAGGGAGGTTTTAAATTAGATGAAAAGCGGCGTTGTTCTTACCTGAACGCCTTTTCTCAGCAGAGTGGTGTAGAGTCCACAGGATGGGTTAATTATGCAATCCTGCCTAGCAGACTAAGACAAGAAAAAAACTCTTGCCACGCCTCCCTCTGGGTGTGACTTCCCCAGTTTTTGGCACATGTCGAGGCGCAAAATGCAGACGCAAGGCTCCAAATAAAAGTGAAAGGAAAGAACCAAAGGACACATGTCTAGACAAGAATAACAGGGGGGGATGTGGACTCTACACCACTCTGCTGAGAAAAGGCGTTCAGGTAAGAACAACGCCGCTTTCTCCAGCAGATGGTGGTGTAGAGTCCACAGGATGGGACATACCAAAGCCGCTCATGTCCCTGAAGGGAGGGAGTCTAGGCATGTTCAACAGAGGGAGCGACTACTTGCTGCAGTACCCGTCTCCCA